GTGTGTGTACATGGGTGGAGAGGTCAGAGGTCAACACTGGGTCATCCTCAGTTGCTCCCCATTCTTGTTTCTTTTGAGACAGGGTCTCTCCTGAAACCGAAGCTCACCAATTCAGTCATAGTGACTAGCCAGTGAGTCCCAGGGATCCTCCTGCCTCTGCCTCCCTGGGCTGTGGTTACACGTGTGTGCCGCTGCACATGGAGCTGGGGATTGGACTCAGCCTCTCGTGCCCACACAGCAAGTACTTTACCGACTGAACCATTGCCCCAGCCTTTTTTTTTTTTTTTAATATCTCCAGGCAGCCAGGCTAGCCTCGAGGTTTCGATCCCCATCCCCTCTGCCTCCTGAGCGCAGGGATCATAGCGGTAGTGTCTGTGCGCTGCTCAGCTGCCTCTCTCTTAAGGAGCAACCACTTGGCCCTCTGGCCGCCTCGCTCCCTTGTCTTCTCCTTCCATCTCCCTCCACCGCCTTCCCACCTCCTCTCATTAAACAAGACGATCACAACTGACGTTGTCGCTGGCGCCAGCTTGTGTTTCCCCTATTGGAGCCTTCCGTGAGAGAATGAAACCACCAGAAGCCACTGTGTGGAGAGGTTGGCTGGCGGCGGGGAGGCAGCTGTGCGGCCAGAGTGTGGACTCCCAGGCTGGCTCTGTTGACTGGGTGCGTTGACCGAACTTAGCGAGCCTTAGTTTCTTCATTTCCAAAGTAGGTGATGATTGGTCAGCTTCCGAACAGGGTGTCTGAGGTCCCCACTACTGTGGAACGCAGGCTCATATGTGTGAGACACACACACACACACACACACACACACACACACACACACACACACATGCATGTACATGACTTTCTATCTAGCACATACCAGTTTTGTTGTGAAACTCTTCCTGTCGAGCTGGAGACACACGTAATGCCAACTGGCTTCTGAAATTCCTGGGCATTTGGAGGTTGCTTCTCACCAGGCTGAATGAGCCCCGGGCGTAGGTACAGCTTGTGCTTTATCTGGAGAAGAGGTGACAGCCTGCATCCAGACAGAGCCTGTGCAAAGGCCCTGAGGTCAGAATGAACTCGGTGTGGTGAGGCTAAGGGAGGAGTGAAAAGCCTGGAAAGATGCAAAGAGAAGGCAGGGGCTGGGCTGAGGCTGGATTTGGGGGAGTTCGGTGACTACAGGCGGGCGGCAGCTGAGTTGAGACTTTAGTCTGAGGCCACAGGAAGTCCTGGGAGGCTTGTAAGGGGGGGGGGGGGGTGGGGGGTGGGGGGGTGGTGGTGGTGCCCGGATCTGATTTGCATTTTTACAAGATTACTCAACCACTCTCTGAGAGACCAGAAGAGGCAAGCCATGTGTTGACAGCCGCCCAAGTCAGAGGCAATGTGATGGCGGCTTGGTCAGTGGGAGGCGGTGAGATGACTGGTTTGGGGTGCCAGCAAGGGAGGGGTGGAGTGGCTGGCCTTGATTAGCACACGTCCTCCAGCTGTTCCCCATGTGTCCCTCGCTGGGGAGCTGTGCTCTAGTCACGGGAGGAGGAGGCAGCCCAGCGGTAACACTCACTGCCGCCCTGCCCGCCTTTCTGCTGGCACCGTGGGCCATGTTTACCACCTCTGATGAACCAGGGAAGCCAATTAGGAAATACACTTATCTCGGGTCCCCACGCAAATCCCTCCCAACAAGAACACAATCTCCTCTCAGTGTGGCCTTCCCTCTGTTTGATCTGCGCTACCACCCAAGAGCGGTGGGTGATCTTCAGATAAGTGGCTTTGACTCGGACTTCGCCTCTGCTTGAGGCTGCCACCCCTGTCAATGCTGTGGGCGTCAGCCCTGCACACAGGCCATCCTCCAGCTCGGCTCTCATGCCCAGCCTGTCTCTCTCTGTGTGGCTTCGAGCAGGGGCACGGAAGCCCTGGTTCCTACACCATTCAATAGAATGCTCTAGAAAGATGGATGGAAATTGATAACCACACTGTCCACTCCGGTGGCTGCTAGCCACATGTGGCCAGTGGACATTTAAAATATGCTGGGGTGGGACTTGGAGGCTCTTCCAGTCTTACTCGGTTGCTGTGATAAAACACTCCGACCAAAAGCAAGATAAGGGAGAAACGGCTTCTTTGTCAGCCTCCAGGTCACACACGGCCCATTATTGAGGGAAGCCAGGGCAAAAACTTGGAGCAGAAACCTTGGAGGACCACTGCTCGCTGGTTCACAGGCTCGTGCTTACCCAGCTTTCTTACATAGTCCACAATCACCTGCCTAGGGAGTGGTGGTGCCGTAGGAGGCTGAGCCCTCCAGCAATGAACAATAAAGATAAGCCCCACAGACCCGCCCACAGGCTGATTAGACCTGGGCAACCCTTCAGTTAACTCGCCCTTCTCAGGTGACTCCAGGTCACATCTATCGTGATGGTGTGTGTGTGCCGCTGGTGGCCCTGCGCCGAGCAGGGTCATGCTAGGCCATGGCCATCACCCCAGAGCCTCTCTTCTTTTGTGTGTTTTGGGTGGAAAGTGACAGGAGATCCTGCTGAAGTTCTATGGAACTTGTCTCTGGTCATAGGCTCTTCAATTTGCAAATATAGGAACGGGTGGTGGGGTGGGGGTGGGTGGGAGGTGAACAGAAGGATCAAAGAGGTTGCTGGGAAGTGGCTGGAACTCAGGACCAGATTCTCAGATCGGCATGTCTTTGCCTTTTGTTATTCAGTGTATACTTAATAATCTGTTCCTCTTGTGCCGTAGAGTATGAAGTCAGCATCCTCTTTGGTCACTCCTGCCTTCTCGGACTCTTCTTCCTCCTTCACGGGGGTGGGGTGGGGGGTGGTGGTGGTGGTGTCACAGTGTAGTCTATGTGGGGTGATTCATTCCACACCCTTTTCTCTTGCATCTGCAAATGTGTAAACAGATAGATAGAAATGTTTTGTATTGTTTTATAAATTGTAGGTTTTGACACTTTTTTCCCTTAAAAAAAAAAAACCCACATTTATTTACAAACCACAGCTTGCTTGTGAATGTTGGAGGAAAAGCCATGAGAGTTGTGGGTCCTGGGGAGCAACTCCGGTCATCAGGATTGGCAGCAAGGGCCTTTACCCACGGAGCCCTCTCTCTGCTCTCATTCCCCACCCCCAACAATGTATATTGGATCTTTTGGAGTCCGTCCACGGAACAGACTTTGTGAACTGCTGTGTAGAGTTGCAATGTCCGGGCCTGTCACTCTGGTCCAGTGCGTTCTCTGTTTGTCTACAAGCTTTCCTGTGCTTGTCTCCCGAATGCAAGAGGCTTCTCCAGGTTGTGTGTTCATGAGTGCATGACTGGGTCATGGAGAATCTATTGTCAGATTTGTGTGCTGCAACTCCAAAGCTCTTTTTTTTTTTTAAATTTTTTCAAGACAGGGTTTCTCTGTGTAGCTCTCGATCTCACTCTGTAGACCAGGCTGTCCTCGAACTCACAGAAATCCGCCTGGCTGGGATTAAAGGGGTGTGCTCCCACCACCACCCTGCTTGCTCTTTCTTTTCTTTTCTTTTTTTAAGTATAAAATCAATCTGTGCTACCTGGGATATTGTCCTGTGAAAAGTGAGTTCTGTCTGCAGACCTTCCTAGGTGACCTTGGTCAGCTCTGTCAACAAGAGCTGTGTGAGTTTGTCTCCAGGTCCTTCCCTTCCCTCCCTCCCTCCCTCCCTCCCTCCCTCCCTCCCTCCCTCCCTCCTCTCTCTCTTACTCTCGGAGACAGGATTTCTCTGTTTAGTCCTTGGCTGTCCTGGAACTCACTCTGTAGACCAGGCTGGCCTCAAATTCAGAGATCCAACTGTCTCTGCCTCCCGAGTGCTGGGATTAAAGGTGCGCGCCACCACTGCCTCTCTCGATAATCACTGGAGTTGTGCTTTTCCTCTGTCTGTCTGTCTGTCTGTCTCTTTCTCTCTCTCGATAATCACTGGAGTTGTGCTTTTCCTCTGTCTCTCTGTCTGTCTGTCTGTCTCTTTCTCTCTCTCGATAATCACTGGAGTTGTGCTTTTCCTCTGTCTGTCTGTCTGTCTGTCTGTCTCTTTCTCTCTCTTGATAATCACTGGAGTTGTGCTTTTCATCGTATTTATTTTCGCATTGCTCTGTTCTCTAACATTTTATTTTTATTTGCATGTGCTGATTACATGTACTAGTTGGTTTCATTATGGCATCTTTACACTTATACAGTGTATTTTTATCACATCCACCCTCGCTGCCTCCTCCTGTCCCTTTTCCCACTTGGTCGCCTCCTACTTTCATATCCCTTTATTTGCTTACGTATTCTGATGACCCGGTGTCATTAGTGCTGTGCCATGGAGCATGGGCACCTTATAGAGTCTACACTGTTGAAGAAGCGTCTCTCCTTCCCCCAACTACCGCTAGCCTCCTGCAGATACTCAGAGGAACCTGCCGCCATGAGTCTCTCCCCTGTAGCCTGGCAATGGGTCCTGAGGGCGGTTGAGGGGAGGGTCTTCAGGTTGTTCTCTGTTTTCACTTTCCCAACCCTTTGTCAGTGATTAAGACTGTTCTATATTGTTTCTGTGACTGCTTAAAAGTCATATATATATATATATATATATATATATATATATTAATATTTCTATGTATAATTTTGTGCATATGAGTATTTTGCCTGTGTCTACCACATGTGTACCTGGTACCTGTGGAGGCCAGAAGACAGCATGGGATCCCTTGGAACTGGAGTTACAGATGGTTGTGAGCCTTCATGTGATGCTGGGAATCGAACCTGGGTCCTCTGTAAGAGCAGACAGTACCTTTAACTGCCGAGCCCTCTCATCCAGCCCCTTAGAGGAGATCCCTGTGACCTATTGGAACAGCTGCTCTGGTTGGACACCAAGGCTGCTTCTGGTCACACAGCCGTCCAGGCCACACAGTAACCCCACACTCTTTCACTGGCCACGTGCTCCTCTGATCTTCTCCGATGGTCAGACTAGAGCAGGCTGCCCCCCCCCCCAAAAAAAAATAAGAAAGAAAGAAAGATTTTGTTCTTCTTCCCTCAGCTCCATGGCTACATGGAGAACAAGCCCCTGGGCCTTCAGATCTTCATTGGGACAGCTGATGAGAGGATCCTTAAGCCGCATGCCTTCTACCAAGTACACAGGATCACGGGCAAAACCGTTACCACCACCAGCTATGAGAAGATTGTGGGCAACACCAAGGTCCTGGAGATCCCGCTGGAGCCAAAGAACAACATGAGAGCCACGTAAGGCGGCGCAGGGGCGGGGCTTCCTGAGAGAGTAAAGCAGGGGCTGAGTGACAGATGGGGGCACCTCTGTGAGGGTACCACAACAGCCATTGCTGGGACTGTCCGAGCTGGGGGCCACCTGTCTGATTCTTTTTAAGAAGTGTTCCGTGAAAGCTGGCCATGGCAGCACACACCCGTAATCCTAGCACTTGGGAGTGTGGATGGAGGCAGGAAGCTCTGGAGTTTGTAGCTAAAACCATCTTTTGCTACATATTGAGTCCCAGACCAGCCCTGGCTACACCAGACCCTCCCTCAAAAAATAGAACAATGTAGCCGGGCGGTGGTGGCGCACGCCTTTAATCCCAGCACTCGGGAGGCAGAGCCAGGCGGATCTCTGTGAGTTCGAGGCCAGCCTGGGCTACCAAGTGAGTTCCAGGAAAAGGCGCAAAGCTACACAGAGAAACCCTGTCTCAAAAAACAAAAACAAACAAAAAAAAAATAGAACAAAACCAAAGATCGTCGTGGACCTAAAGAAACTTTTCAGTGACAACACAGGTGGCCAGAGGTGGCACATGGCGCCAACAAGTCAGCATCAAAGAACCTTTATGAGGAGATAAACTTGGGCCTACAGAAATGCTGTGGGAGGGAGGGCACGCGATCTCAGGGCACTAATTGTGCTGTCCCCACCACTAACAGGGTTCACATTCCCTAGTCCTCGCCTTCATCTCTCCTGCCGTGGCCCTGAGTCCTTTGAGAGGTGGTCGATCACGCCTTGGCTTTTAGAGACCTTGGTGTGCATTTCCAAAGACCAAGTGTGTTTTCTTGTTTGGTAAATTCAAGAGACCTCGATACTCTGATCCTTGTGGAATAGCCCTGGCCAGTTCCACCAGCTGCCTACTTGAGTTTTCCGGGTGCTTTTGAGAATAGAAACATGGATGAGAAAATTTTCCCTAGAGGAAGTCTCTACTCAGGAGATGATCTATGTACTCTGTAAAGCTTTTTCTTTTTCTTCCTTTTTTCTTTTTTCTTTTTTTTTTTTTTTTAAATTCGACCTCTCAGTATACCATTCTGGTTATAATACCTGGGGGAATACTGCAATTTCCCGCTGTGGCTGTCGGGAGGATGCATTTGGTTAACTACCTTAGGTGGGTTTGTGGGTGATCTTTTCTGCTCAGTGAGACAGTTCTCATGACCCGGGCTTTCCTCTGTGCAGCATCGACTGTGCAGGCATCCTGAAGCTTCGAAACGCCGACATCGAGCTGCGGAAGGGCGAGACAGACATCGGCAGAAAGAACACACGAGTTCGCCTGGTATTCCGAGTGCACGTCCCGGAGCCCAGCGGCCGCATCATCTCCCTGCAGGCCGCGTCCAACCCCATTGAGTGCTGTAAGTCAGGCCTGGGGCTGGGTCTTTCTGGGGAAAGGGGCCACACATGAGTGTCCACCCTGGGCAGGTGGCCTTCAGGAATCACGGGACTTGCGAAGACATACAGTTGGTCTGTGGTGACCAGAAAGGCAGAAACTATACCGAGGGAGATACTGGTCTCTGCTTCTATTTGCTTTTGTGAAGACTTTTGTGGCTTCATGGGAAATAAAAAGTAGGGACAGTTAAGGGAGCTGAGAGGAACTGATGGCTTTGTTTAGAAGATTCAAATAGTTTAAATATTGCGTTGGTCTTCTGAAGTGCAGACGCATTTGCAATTAAGTCCCCGGAACGCACATCCCCTTCTTTCTTTCCTTTCGTCCTCCGAACAAGGCTCACAATCGTGGCTTTGCACTGTGGCCCTGCAGATGCCGTGGGAAGCACCTGGCCGTGTTCTCACAGCAGCCTCAGGACCCTGGCTGGCGCCATTATACCCATTTTACAGGTTTGAAGGCTGAGTATCCAGTGCCCATGCCCAGAAGAGGTGGCATGGCAGTAGTGGTGCTTCAGCCTTCCTCCTGTCCCTGCCTGCTGACAGAGGCCTCTCTAAAGTTAAGGTCAGGGGTCATGCCAAGTGTGGGGCATCCACAGAGCAGTAAGACATTTTCTGTGCCCAAGAAGCTTATAGTCTAGTGAGGATGAGGGCCCACCCCCAAAGATGGTTGTAAAGTTAGAGAAAAATTTACAAGCCTGGTATGGACGTCCTAAGAACTTTGGGGAAGATGCTGAGCACAGCACGTGGCTGGGCTCTGCCAGGCTTCACGTGTGCACGTGTGCAATACTGGAGATTGAACCCAGAACCTCATGCATGCTCGGCAAGTGCTCTACCACCAGGCTACCTCTCCAACAGGTGTTTTTTTTTTTTTTTTTTTTTTTTTTCCTTTGAGACAGGATTCCTATGTGTAGCCTTGGCTATCCTGGAACTCAATCTATAAACCAGGCTGGCTTCAAACTCACAGAGATCCACCTGCCTCTGCCTCCTGAGTGCTGGGATTAAAGGCGTGCGCCGCCACCACTTGGCTCATCTCCAACAGTTTTAAAACATTTTTTTTTTAAATGAAGAGAGGGTCTTGCTAATTTTCCCAGGCTGGATTTGAACTCTCAGCCCTCTTGCCTCAGCCTCCGGAGCAGCTGGGATTATAGAGGTCTATGCCAAGGGGCCAGATATCTCTTACGTTTTTGAAAGTTCAGTTTTTTGGGGATTTTTTTTTTTTTTTGGTTTTTTTTTTTTTTTTTTTTTTTCGAGACAGGGTTTCTCTGTGTAGCTTTGCGCCTTTCCTGGATCTCGCTCTGTAGACCAGGCTGGCCTCGAACTCACAGAGATCTGCCTGCCTCTGCCTCCCGAGTGCTGGGATTAAAGGCATGCGCCACCACTGCCCGGCTGGGGATTTTTTTTTTTTAAACAAAGAATAAAGGAGAGGAAAGTAACATTGTTTCAGGGATAAAAAAACCCTGTTTATTACGCTCTTCCAGTCTGTCTTTAAGGTAACTTTGCGGTACAGTCATGTTTCAGGTTACACTGTTACTTTACTGTGTGTCCTGAAAGCCGACTTCTCTGTTAGCTGTCGGTGGAACCGAGAGAAGTGGCCGAGTGGGAGCAGACAGGAGGGTGCAGTGGAGCCTGGGGACCAGAGGGGACCCTGTCCTTCTCAGCAGGCCGCTGTGAGCTGACAGCTGCCCATTTTCTCACAGGGAAACAGGTCTGTGTGGGCAATTCCAGCTTTAAAAGACTAAACTGGAAGAAAAAAAGAAATTCCAGGCTTAAACCGGCAATTGGGGGAGGCTAAAACTCCAAGGCAGAGTCTGCCCTTAGCACGCAGAAAGCCCTAGGTTCTGGCTTCCTCAGAACATTTACGGGCAGTACGGATTAAAAATGGCAGTAAATTCAAGATACTCAGAGAGCCAGGCAGAACCGTCGAGAGGCTTCTACTTATCTGGGTGGTCTTGAGCCGTGAATGGACAGAGGGGAGTGCAGGACCATGCACTATGAGAAAATACAGAAGGACTGACCACCAGGGCCAGAAGCAAGGTCAGAGGGCATGGGCAGTACTAATGGGAACTGGGAAGGGACTAGCAGGAGCCTGCAGCTTGGCCAGGCAAAGCTGGGGTGCTGCAGAACCTTTACTCAGAGCTGGGAGACAAGAGCCACCAGCAGGGAAGGGGAGACCCAGGGTGACAGCCACCTTCTCACCCATGTTCTCTGGTCTCAGGAGCCACCCCTATCCTGTTTGGTTTCGAATGTCTCAGGATTGTTCTAGAAGGAAACACAGACTCTTCCTTCTGACTTTTGGAGGTGCTGAGCAGACAGGGCTCTCCTCTTTCCGGCAGGCAGCTCCCCTTCAGGGTGGGACTGTGGTCGGCTGCAGGGTAAGGGGCAGAGGATGTCCATCAGTCCCCCGCCCCTTCTCTGGCCTCCTGAAGTCAGTGTGTCTGATGTCACTCGGTGAACCACGAGTGCCTTCAGGAAAGTTGTTAACACATCCAAAAATCCTTTGAACCTTGTAAATCTGTTGGTTCCCCATGGGTTTCAGCCACCTCATCTTCCTCCTCCTGACAGATAAGGAGACCCAGCCTTTCTTGGTAATATGATTCACCATTTTACTCAGTAGCAAAGCTGGAGTTCCAAACTTTCTAGTTCCGTAAACTACCTTCTCTTGGCTTCTAGGATGCAGGTTTCCTGGTAGAGCCTCCCTCAGCTGCTGGCCAGCCACTGTCCTTCTGGTCCTCTCTTGGCTCTGTTGCCGGCTTTATTCTAGTTTTGACCCCTGTAAAGGCGCTCGGTGCGTGTTAGTTTGGCTGATTGGCTTGGTTTGTAGCCTGTAGGGAGATAATGAATACATATTGACAATTAGTGACTCACACCTGGGGACACAGACGGGGAGGATAAATATTTATTGTCTAATTGACTTTACACTGCTGGGGAGGATGAGCTGGTAAGGAAAACAGTGGGCTGGTCTGTATTCACAAGGCTAACGTATTTATTTTGGAAAGGTGCCCCCGTGCCCCAGCTCAGGGAACAAGCGCGTGTTTGTGAACATGCCGGCGGACAGCGCCGTTCGGACGGTGGTCTTGTGGCCTGTTGTGGTTCTTCCTGTCCGACCCCAGCCTTGGGGGCCGCAGCTCCCTGCTGCGCAGCCTGGCAGCTGTGTTCCTCAGCGTCAGGGCATTTGCCAGGCTCCCGCTCAGGGGTCTCAGCGGCGACTCCACCTCTGCAGTAGGGAAGCATGGCTTCTCCCTAGACTAGCTGCGCGGTTGCACGTAGCGGCTTAAGCCTCAGACATTTGTGCTTCCCTAGATGTGGGGCCAGAGCGTGCCGTGAGGCGACTGCTGGGTTGGGGGGTCGCACCTCACACATGTCTCTGCGGTCCCCTCTGTAGGTACATGGCTCAGGTTTCTGCCTCCGTCTCCTTGGGGTCCTGTCTGTCCTCGGGTGTCCTCAGGTCTGTCACTGATGAGGACTTGGGCCCCACCCCAGCCCTGGATCTGGTCTCACCCCATTTTTAACTTGCTCCCATGTAAAGACCCCTCTTCTGAATAAGCCCATTCTGGCTGTCAGGTGAGGCCTGGGGTGGGGGTGGGTGGTCACTGTTTAGCCCTTTCTGATGTGGTCCTCCACTTCCGGATGCTCCACAGTTCCCAAGGGGCCGAGTCTTCCTCCTCTTCCTCATGGTTTGTTTGCTGACTGCTCCACACAGGCAGGTGCTCAGACTTAACTCGTGAGGGTCAAAAATGCATGTACACATGCATACGTACATATATACAAACACCATACATATGCATGCACAAATAACACACATAATATACACATATAAATAACACATGTCCTCACATGCATGTATGCATATTCACATACACATATAAATAATACTAATGCATCAACATATGTATAAAGACCTACATATACTTAATACACATATGTGCATATACATATAAACACATGTATATATATTTACACATGCCCACACATACACTCATATACACATGCACATTCATATAAACATATAAACAACCATACATATATACATGCACACACACTTGAGTACTTACATATATACATGTACATGCTCACACACATTCACACACACAAATGCATATATACATATGCATGTGTACACATACATAAATACACACATTTACATGTATACATATGCACACATAAACATTTACATATACACACGTGCACACACAAGCACGAATAAATATGTGTACATATGCACACACATAAAAACACACATTTACATGTGTACATATACACACATAAAAATACATAAAACATACATGTACACACACATACACTATCTCCATTAGGGTGTGGTCTTAGAATGTGGATGTAGGGAGGCCCCCAAGAGTCTGAAGAGGGCACAGAGAACCTGTGACCTTCCCGGCTAACTCCTCACTCACAGGCTCCTGGTGGAGAAAGTGTTGCTGAGCCCAGAGGCCTCGGAGCCCCGGTGAGCACAGACTGCCACATTCCTCCATGTCCATCCTGCCAGGCCGTGGCGGGTGTTTGGGACTTGTCACTAGGACTGGTTAGGACATTGAGGACGTGGGGGAGGAAGCCTTCAGAGGCTTCCCAGGTGGTCACGAGGTGATGTCTGCGGGTCCTGGTGGCCTCTGTGACCCACTGCAGCCCTGCTCAAGACCTGTGGATTCTCTCCATGACCTGAGATCCATCTGCACAACCACAGCTCAGGAAATGCCTAAAGCAATTGGGTGCCAGGCCCTGCCCACCCGGCGTGCAACATGGATTCACTTTGTTCCTTTTGCAGAGTGGGAGGAGGCCCGGGCTTGTCTCTGACAGACGCATCTCCGTCAAGGTGTAATTAAGAAACAGGAGGTGCACGGACGTGTCCTTTAGCTGAGTGACTTGGCACCGGCGGACACGCTTGTCACCACCGTTCCAACCCAGGCACAGAGCGCCTGGCCCCGCCAGGTCCCGCTCAGCCCCTCAGCTGCTGCCTCTT